TAGGTTCCAAATCTGGAAAAAAAATGAGGTTTATAACGATAAGTATAGTGAAGCCCAAAAGGCTTCATATTTTTGGTTCGCTTAGAGCCCCCAAATTGGTTGAGTCACCCTCAGAAATGTGCATATATATATATATATATATATATTATATATATATATATATATATATATATATATATATATATATATATATATGCACATTTATTTTTTGTGTGTTTTTTACACTTTATAGGTGCAATTCTTTTAAACATTGACATCAGAGTCTCATTGTTGTATTTGTTTTGAAAAATTATAAAGAAATACAAAATGTGCATACATGCACTAATATGCATATTTCAAAAAAAAAATCATCAATTTTTTTTAGCCTATGTATGGCTTAGAAACAACATTTGAAGACTAATGGTGGTCTCGGGTCATCCGAGTTTCAATTATGTTTTTTTACTCTTTAGTTGAGAGTTTTATATTCCATAAATAAGTACAATGATGGGGCGAAACAGGAAACCATTTATCGCATTTGCTGAAAAATCTGGAATTAATCATAAGAAGCGTGAAGCGCCTCTTAAGAAGCGCAACGCGCTTCTAACCCAGTGAGCTGACTGTTTTATTAGGGTTTTTGGAGTATTTAAAGGTCATTAAACCAATAGGGTTCGCCCAATCTCAGCATCTATGACCCTTTGGGTGATTTTCCAAAAACCCTAAGGGTGTGTTTGGTTCCAGAAAATTGTTTTCATTTTTCAAGAAAATATTTTCGAAAAATAAAGTTGAGTTTTCCTTTGTAGTTTTTAATGAAATTTTTAGAAAACGGGTTCGGTTGGAAACGATGAAGTTTTCATTTTCCATCTTAGAAATTTTAAAAACTTTGGGAAAAACTGTAAAAATCACTTTTCAAATTTGCATACAATTTGGAAAAATAAAAATTTTCATTTTCTTAGAAAACTTTGGAAAACTGAACGAACCAAACGTGTTTTCAAAATTTCCGTTTTCTTGAAAATTTTTCCTGAAAAACTGGGAAAATTTTCACAACCAAACGCACATTAACTATCTTTATCTTTCTCCCTCTCATTTTTTTAGCTTATGGTTAAATTGTGAGCTTGTTCCACCATTTTTTAGTAAAGAATGAAGATCTTGAAGTTCTCATGATGTCATTGAAGGAAGAAGAAAGTATAGATCCATCAAAGTTGCTTTATTTCTGGAACATTGTGAGTATAAAGTTCCTAACTTGCTCTTTGGATTGCTAGATCTTGTTATTTGTTGTTTTTGGCACATTTTAGTCAATTTTGTTGGTGATCTTGAAGATGAAGAAACTCTAGCACCATTTAAGCTCTTGGAAATGTCCCTTGGACGTTTTGGACTAAGAAAGTTGGGATCTTTTTCCTTCCCATTAAGTCGTGCAAGCTATGTGGGTTAACTAGGTCATTTTGAACAAAAAAGTTTAGATTTTGCTTCATTGGAGTGTCTTAATGAATCAAGTTGGAAACTTTATTCATTAAGACATTGATAAGGTGTTTCACCTTGTGAATAAGCCCTGGACGCGGCACACTTTTCCTTGGCGCGACGCGCTTTTAGGGATTTCTTATATATATATATATATATATATATATATATATATATATCTATATATATATATATATATATTATATATATATATATATATATATATATATATATAATATCGAGCTTTCTTTGTGTCTAGTTGTCCTCTCACAACTCTGTATTCAGATTATGAACCATTTATTTGGTATATTGTTTTTTTGTAGAGAATGTAGAATAAATGTGTAAAGGTCTTCTTTTCTTATGCGACCACCAAATCTATGATGTGAGGAGAGAATGTCAGCAGAACGACAACGAGAGAGGGGTATGGTTGAGATAGTAGGCTCATATAGTTTAATAATGGCATAATTATATAAATAAATGATAAGAAAACATGTAAAAATAACCTAAAGGAAAAGTAGTCATTTTAAATGAGCAGAGGACATAAAACGTTATTAAAACTTTCAATAAGGACCATAACTACAAAGATATTCTTGACTGGACCAATCCAAAAAAACTATTTAAATTCAAGAACAAAAAATGTTATTTAGTCTTAATCTAATTTCATTTTAATGTATACACAACAAACAACATATTTACTTAACTTGATTTATGGACCTAACATAATAAGGGCTAAATGGTGATTTCTCTATGCCTCTCCTATGTATATAACAAACCAGTTAAGGGATTTCAATCAGATTTTACTCTCCTCATCTCACTTTCTATCTTTCTTCCCTATCCCTAATACAATTGAAGATTATAAGAACATTGATTTTGTTATCTAAATCCATCTATCGGGTGTGGTGGTTTAAGGAACTACATTCAATCGAGAATAATCAACGAGGAAATTTATGGCGTTATCTTCATCGACGGACCCTCCTACTCCTATCAAACTTGGATTTCAAGTAAGTGTTTGTTTGATTTAATTTGTTATGTGATGTTTGCGATCATCATTTTGCATTTGATGTCTACTCATCATTCTTCGTATTAGCCACCTTAGCTCAAAAAATCTTTAAATAAAAAAAAAAAAAATTTAGACTCAGCTTAAAAACATATAAAATATATGATTAACTTGATATTAGTCTCCGTTAGTGGGTAGTTTCAACATTTATTATTTGAACGTGTTGCTTTGTCGGGATTTTATGGAACTAACATTCACAAGGTCGATGTTTTTTTGCCAACATTTATAAAAACAATGATAATAATAACAGGCGTTAATGTTGTGATTTTATTCTCATCAATTGTTATATTTTATACGAATTAAGATTATGTCGTCGCCCTTCAAAAACAAAAATTAAATGTTAAAATTATTATTTTCCAAAAAAAGAATGAAGAAAAAAAAACATATTTTATTAAGCAAAACAAGTACCCATTTATCCACGCAAAAGCAATGTGGGATGGGAGAAAATGTTTATCATCTTCTCCACCTCATTTGATCGGCATTTATATACTAATCTTTTGGTTTGGTTTAAAAAAATATGAGATCTAATTTATGTCAATAATGTCATTTTGTATGTGTTTGTGTGAGTATTTTGGGTTCATATGAAAAACCCTTTGTTATAGTAATAAGCGTGAGAAAATTTAGATTTGGAATTATTAGAGAAAATCGAATGATAAGAAAGTGAAATGTACCGAGAGTAACGGAATGCAACTGTTATCATTTCACGGTCATATTTGATTACTTTGTTGGAATAAAACGATTCATTAGTTCATATTAGATGATAGGTAAGAAATGACAAATGAATGGAATTGAATTAGTTAACAATAATGTATAGCTTGCAATTTTAATTACATTGTTAATATGAGTTGTTTTCTGTCACCAAAATGCATGTTCAATAAATATATATATATATATATATATATAGATATATATATATATATATATATATATATATATATATATATATATATATATATATATATATATATATATATATATATATATCACATTGCATGAATAATTTATATAAAATTTAATGTTGTGAAAATAAAGACACTTTAAAAAATATGTTTCCCAACCACCATCAAGGATGTTTAATGTTGATCATTTAAGAATTAAACTTCTAAAAAAGAGTTTTCCCGGGTATGAATCCAAAACGCAACATTTTAATAACAGTTCAGATCGTTCGTTTGGATTAGGAACCGAGAAAGTGAACGGTTCAACTAACACTGGTTTTATGACTATTTCTTGACCAGACAAACCAGCCGATTTTAAAAAAAAAACGGTTGAACCGATTAAATTAAATGAAAACACATGGAAATGAAACATTTTGCATAACATTCTCTTAAATTGAATTAAAAACGCATGGTAAATGTTATGAAGCTTTTTGAAGTGTATGTATTCATCTAAAAATATATTTTTTTCGGTATTATACATTTTTCTTTTTGATGTATGTGATGTAAAGCTTTTGGTTGTGTTTGTTTAACTATTTGGAGTGAACTGCAACATGTTTTTAAGTGTATTTTTAATATTTAAACTTGTGTATTCAGGAAAAAAAAAACATGAAAATTCTAGAAACCGAAGATCAAACCGAAAACCAGTCAACAAACCACACTGATTCAACTAAAAAACTGGTTTTTAAAACATTACTAAAACATTCAGCTTTGTAATAGCATGTCATTCTAAAAGGAAAAAAATCCCAATTAATTATATGAATCATAATTCTTAGCTTTAGTTGTTAAGTGTGTTGACTAATTCTCTCATCCCGTTTGAAGAACATTATACATGCATGCTTTCAACATTTTACATGATCATGCGATCTATATCAATTCTTATCTAGTTATTGACATAATCTGATCATGCATTGATTCTAAGACCAACTCCAATGGACCGGCAAAATGGTGATTTGCCGGCCAAAAGAGCTCCAACCGACCACCATCTTCAACAGCAAAATAGTGATAATGAACAGTAACACACAAAAATGCTGAGACACTATTCATGAACGCCAAATACATTAACTAATATAATAATGATTTTATACACATATAATTCATTTTAAAGTAAGTAAAACTAGATTTCATCTTCATTGTTCCTTCCTTATCGCTGCCATCTTGTATTTCATTTATTTATTTTTCATAATAAAATTTGAAAGAACCTATCTCTTTCTTGATTTTGAAGAATAGAAACTATAATTGAAATGCAGACTCATTTTTACCGGTTCTTCAACTTGATTTGGAAATTGTCAACAAAGATTTTTGAGTTTAGTAGGAAAATTGGAGGATGAAAATGGTTGTTTTGAGAGGAATCGTTTCAATAAAGATGATAATATTAATTGTGAACTCACAAATAAAAAATACAAAAAAAATATTTTGTAATTAATAAATTAAAAATATGTTTTTAGCGAGATGTTTTTAGTGTATGGTTGGAATGAAAAAAAAAATATATAGTGTGAAAATTACACCATTTTAGTGTTTTTTATTGTGTGAAGGTTGGAGTTGCTCTAAGCAATTTAACATCAAAATAACATCAAGCATCGATCAACAAAAGTTTTAGCAGATAGTAACATTTTTCTTGATCAGATAAATTAAAATTCAAACCTAAAAGCTTCTCAAAATAAGAAGAAAGAAAAAGGTGATTATCAAATCAAACCACAAACATTTTAAAACATCCAAGATGAAAAGTCAAAAGGGGCAGAGTAGGAATTTCATTCTTCTTTGACATCATCGGATGGTCCTTGCGATGTTGCAGCCGCCATAACCTCGCCAGGTGGCGGGTGATCAAACCTGCATGTCACCCCATATTTGCAAGCCCCTGTCTTCATGTAGTATGGGCAGTGTATTGCACCCTGTTCAATGATGAAGGCGACAAGGACACTTATGTCTTTTTCACACGCAAGAAATCCAATGCATAACAAGTTCTTTTCCAAAAATACCCTTTGTCATAATCGAATGAAGTAGGTAGTAATCTATTAACTTTTCCACCAATTTCTTTTTTATATATGCGTTATCAGGTATGTCAAGGGTAAATATGGAATCTTAGGATGATGTTTCATGGTGTGACTATTTTTTTTGTCATGGTGCGACTATTTTTTTTGTAAAAATTTGAATAATAAAACAAGGTATACCTCTCTCCTTGGAAGACCAGCAAGAGTAAGTTTGACAGTGAGTTGGGATTCATTTGCTGACTGTGCATGTGCTGACCTGTCAATAGGATGATGATACTTGCATCTCTCTCCAAACATGCATATCCCAGTTTTCATATAATACTACAAGAGCAAATTTAGAAAACAAATAAGGGAAAAATAAAACAAAAAATTGAATTTATATAAATACTCACATCGCATTCCATCTGACCAGGCCTCTGAGGGTAGACTGTTGGACCCAAACCAAGCTGCAACAAAAGTTAAATAAAGAATGAAAATTAAATTTTTTATTTTTATTTTCATTCAATAACTTGGTTTTATCTTCTTTTTTTTTAAATAGTAAGGTCCATGTGCTTCTGTTCTTCATTGCTTTGATTTTGATATGACTATTTGATTTGGTTTAGAATTTTGGTGTTAGATCTTTAACTTTGAATTTGGGTTGGTTTGACTTTGATTTATAAGATTTGGTTGAATTCGGTTATTAGGGTTTCTCAAGGAAAGAGATGGATTGTGTTGGGGTTTAATTATACTCCTTGACCATGAAAAACAGATGCGATAAAGTATACAAGGGCAAAACGGTCATTTTCATAAATTTAACAGTTGGGCTGTTATAGTTGATGGTTCAGGGACCAAAAGTGTTGGGAAACCACTAACATAAGGACCAAAATTGTAAAAAGATTTATTTTTGGACGTAAACCAGAAAGAAAAAAAAACAGCTAAGCACAGGAATCAAATAATCTCTACTTTACCGTTGGTTGAGCAATTCGTGGGTCCACAGTTTGCATGACAGCGGAAATTGGGTTGACCATACCAAAAGTCAAATGAGCAGCAGGAGTTGACACAATGGCGCCAGCTGGATTGATTGCTGCATGAAATATTACAAAACCAATTATCAAGCAAAGATATATTCAATTTCCTCAAGAAACCATATTGATAATTGATGTAGACTTGCCATATCTCTCTGGATGATTATAGCGACAGGTGGCACCATATTTGCAACTATATCAAAAATAAATAAAATTAGGACACATTATTCAGTAACTTAAAATTAAGAAATCAAATTTCCTAACCTGCCAGTTTTCAGGTAGAAAGGACAATCCACTTCTCCCTATTTGAGCGATCAAGAAACAAGGGGTAAAGACGTCATTTTCATATTTGTAAGAAATTTTTTGAATCATGATTGAAATGTATGCAAACGTATTACCGGTCTAATGGGGAGGCCTTTTGAGTTATGCAACATGGCAGGGGTAAAAGGGGCAATTGAAAGTTCCAAATTCCCATTGCCATTTGTCCCACCACCAACTGTAAAAGCTTCACCATTACCATCTTCTACCTCGGTTGCTGTAATTGTGATGTCCTTTGGGTGATGAAATTTGCAGGTTGAACCAAATTTACATTTTCCAGTCTTCATATAGAACTGCTTACAAATAAACATGTTAAATAAAGAAATAGATGAGTAAAATGGGAAAAGTCAAAGAGTCTTTAGAAGTGAAGAAATTATTATACCACACATGGGGGCTCAAATGGTCTCTCTGGTAATTCAGAAGTATCAGTGTTTTCTAAAGCAGCCTGCAAAATTGCATCAATATAAATTAATATGGACATGAATGCAAATCAAAATGACACGTCATAGTGTAATGAAACTTACCAAAGGAGCAGCTTTATCTTTTGGATGATTGAATTTGCACCTGGGGCCAAACTTGCATTTTTGAGTCTTGAGGAAATACTGTATTGCATTAAATACCAAATGGATTGCACTAAGATGCTTGTTCATATTTAAAGTAACTTAAGGTCTCATGGCGTCAAAATATATTGCATAACATTGTACATCTTATGGTAACAATAACATATATGAGCTTCATCAATAATTAAAGTTGTTTAGATTGCCCAACCATCGAGCACAAAATGCATTCATTTAAGGCTGTGATTTGGATTCAGTGTTCTTGATTTTTACTCATTTCAATTTATTAGGTAAATCTTGCGATTTCATTGAAACCTTTCAATCACGTGTGATCATTCGATGATTATCAGTTTATCACAAATTAGGAATTTCTGGCCCCTGTAAAAGATAGAAGCATCCTTTTATAAGGATATTTCCTTGCAACTTTGAAATCATTGAATAATATTACCAGTTTCCGCTCACATGTTTAAACACTATATATTCTTGCTTTCATTATGCATCAATACGGATTGCCAGTGCAACACTTATTTATTCATGTATCATATATTCTTTTTAAAAATTTGCAACTAATAATATCGATTATTTGCAAGATTTGGAGTTATACTGTTTTTCCAGCAATTGCCTCAACTTTTTTTTTTTTCAATAGCTTATGTTTGTTTCTTTCTCCAATTAAAAATTCCATACATGCTAGCAAATCGTTGTAGGTTTATCCATCTCTAGATTCAATTAATTAGCTTGAACAATATGATTTAAATTCCTACTTAACATACTATTATCTTCTATTTAGAAATTATTAATTATTTCATTTCTTTATAGGTTCACCCATTTGATTTATACATGTATTAGAATAGTTTTCTACGAGTAGAGCGAGTGGCAATGTGGAGGATATTAGGTTAAGAATATATACCATGAATGTACGTTGGATCTATCAAAGGTTTTAAAGACAAGAGAAGAGAAAGAGATAATAGACATCGCTTGTATTAGGAGACTAAGTTGTAGAAGGCAAAAGCTAGAGAGAGTAACGTCTACAAGTTGTAGTATTGTGGTCTAGGGTAGGCGATAAATGGAGAGGGTGTTACGTTGTCTCCTAAGCTCAAAGACAACATTGTAAAAGTTAGAAGATACAGTGACCAAGCCAAGGTAGTGATGGGAAGAGAGGTGAAGGGTTGTGTGTGCTTATGTCCCCCATAGTGGGACCGTCGTTTAGTCTTAGAGAGACTTCAATGGACATATAAGAAGAGAAAGAGATAGATGGGTACCCACAAGAGAGATAGGGGGGATCATTTTGGTACGCTCCGGGACGATGTACCAAATATTGCGCTACCATGTACCAAAATTCAAAACATATTAGACAGATTTAAAACTTGCAATCAAACAAACATCAAAAATTCAAAACAGATTACATCAAATCCAACAAACATCAAAAGTCAAAACAGATTACATAAATCTAAAACTTAAAACTCAAACATGTAACTTAGTCTGCTACTCCACCCTTTGTTTTTTTCCTTGGCCATTAACTTCGCCCTTCTCGAGATGTTCCATTCCATATCTACTAACTAGCCTTGAGCTTGATCCTTCCAAAGTTGTAGATGAACAAAAACAAGTTTGTCATTTACATATCAGTCGATTTCTCTTCACGTTATGAAAATAAGGATAAGTGCTCCAAATTCTTTCGGTTGAAGAGTTGCTTATAGGTTGTGACAATACTTTTTTTGCCACTTCGACTAACTCCGATGTTTCCACGCCATAAAGTAGACCACCAATCAATTGCTTCCATTGTAACCGCATCCATCTGAGTTGTTGGTCACGAATAAAGACCATTCTTCAAGTGAAACTTAGCAAATTGTTCTCACAACAGCCGTTCTTCGTCTCTATTTTCAGAAATGCGATTAAATGCTTCCATGATACAAATACAACTTCTTTATCAAGGTTTAATGATTTTCTACATGTTCCACCAGGTGCTAACGTTTCAAGATAACGTATATCGTAAAATCGTGGAGTTAAAGCAAATCTTAAACAATGTAATGGTATGCTCATTTTCTCCCACCTTTTCAATACAATTTATTGTACTTGAGGGAAATACGATGAATATATACTTTCCTTCATCACATCTTGGATTTCCCCCAACATACTATCCATTTTCTCGTATATTTCTCCCATTTTTGGGCCTTCACCATCACAAAATTTGATCAACACATAAATTGGCTTCGTGATGCGTAGAATATTTTCAACTTCAACCTAAAAGTCATCATCTCTGATATGATCAACAACAATCTGTCCAATTGTTCTAGTGTGTTCGTCGTCGTGTTTCACCCACTCTCTCCACGAATTATGAGCAAATGTTGTAGATAGGGCCTCTCTATAAGTGATTAACCGCTTCAACAAAATGCAGTGAGAAGTAAATCGGGTTTTTGCAACCTTCAAAAGCTCCAACTTCGAATTCTCCCTAAAAATGGACAAAGCTAGTCCATGATTCAAAAAATATTTGACAATCATTTCCCCCTTTTTATATGTCCTGTAACCAAATAAACTCGTTTGCAAAATCTTTAAAAATCAAGTTTAAGGTAGGAACACAGCATGATGGCCAGAAAATATGTTTGCATACCTTTTCGATTTCCTTTTCCGCAGCTTTACAACTGGCGGCATTGTCCCTCACAACATTGAGAACATTACTTGGGCCGACAGAATCAATCGCTAGGCCTAGAAATTCAGCACTCGGTTTACCTGTTTTCTCCACTCCAGAAAAGTCAGTTGCATACATGATTACATGAACGTAAAACCTCGACTGTTTACAGCAAGAACATTAAGCAATGGTTTATGTTTTATGTTTGACCACCCATCAAGATACGATAGATCATAGAAATATCGTGTGAATACCATGTATCTTTAAACGGTGTCAAGTCCTCAACATCTCTCACACATTCATCTAGTAGAACAGTTCTTGCTTTCTCACTTAATGGTGCTTTATTACCTTCGGGTGCCTTTCTTAATGCATTTACCATTTCACAAAATTGAGGATTCCGCAAAACATTAAATGGAATCCCATTTGCACATAAAGCCCTTACAACTTTCAAATCAACCGCACTTCTCTCCATTATTGCAAAAGATTGCTCTATCAGTTTTTTAGAGATCAAATTTGGTTTTTTTGGTAAAAAAAACTTCTTAGGGATTTAGAGACTCCAAATTTTTCAGCCTCCTTCACCTTCTTTTGCAACCTTTCATAAGTGTCTCGGTCTCTCATTACAATAGGGCCTCTTAATTTCAGCTTTTTTCCGAGTTGAGCACCAAAAAAATGAGTATAATTCGAGTGTACGAGCTAGTGAATGTTCCATGACAATGTTTACAACCCACTTTTTAGAACCCGCTGGATTTTTACTACTACCAGCACTAATGAAAGTAACTCCATCATATAAAGGCTTAGCATCTACAGTTTGTGTTTTTCGCTGTGTACCTTGACTCCCACTTGACTGACTTGTCTGATGTTCTGATCAGCCAGGGTTATTAATAGCGATCGCTACCCTCGCTATAGCGAATAGCGTAGCGTAGCTTTGCTGGGTCGCTACATGCCTGTAGCGATGAAATAGCGTGTGTAGCGATCAGGACAAAATTGATTTTTTTTTGTTTAAATCGTTAAGATACATAGCAATTAGGGTCGGAATTGGTTTAGGCGGGGAATAGTAGAGTCAATTTCGTGTCTTTCCGTCTAATCGACCTAAGATTGTACGATGGTGCGAAAATCACCAATATCGATTTTGGCGGGTTATTTCCCACTTCAGCGACAGTAGCGACAACAACTCATCTCCCCTTCTCCCCAGACGACTCCAACTACTCCAGAATCCATCTCGATTGTTCAACTTTAAAAAGGTAAGACTTTTGAATTCCTCTGTTTTTTTCTAACTTCTCGGTTTCAGACTTTAACTGATTTCTTCCAATTTCAGCTTTTAACTTCTATCTTCTGATCAATTTTGCAAGACTTCAACTTCAAAAAGGTAAGACTTCAACTTCTATCTTCTGATCAATTTAAGCTTTTAACTTCTATCTTCTAAATTATGAGATTTTTTGAATTCTATTGTATGATCTTTGATTATGTGATTCTTATGATATTGGCTTCTTTCTATCTTCTGATCAATTCAGGCATGCCTCCTGGTGTAAAAGAGGATGATATTGGCCGGAAACATGGCAAAAGAGTTGAAGGAACTATAAATTAGGTGTTGTGTAATTACTGTCCAAATGTTGCTAAAGGTGGGATTACAAGACATAAACATCACCTTGCAGGTGATTCCACTTCAGTTTGCAAATGTCTTAGAGCTCCACCAGATGTTAGGAAACTTTTTAAAGACATTTTTGAGAAACAGAAACAAGATAAAGTTGAAAGGAATCGCATTCCTCACTTTAATGATGATGTGGTGGATATAAATGATGAAGATGAAGAAGAAGCTGGTGAGGTTCCTTTCTCATTAGGCAAGAGGGTTATTTCGTCCTCCAAGTCAACCCTACACAACAAGAAAGTAAAAGGCGCTTTGGATACTCATTTAAGGCCATCCTAAGGCCATCCACTGAAACAGGGAAGAAGAAGGGGTACTTGGTGGGAACCCCCGAACATAACCAGCTTCACAAAAAACTAAGAGGTGACGCGGTTCAGAAGTTTGCCCGTTGGATGTATGATGCAGGTCTTGCATTCAACGCGGTGAAGTATGATAGTTTAGGGTCTGCACTTGAAGCCATTGCTATACATGGTCCCGGTATGAAACCCCCTAGCTACCATGAGGTACGTGTTCCTCTGTTAAAGCTAGAGAAAGAGCACACAAAGAAACTTTTGATACTTAATGAGACCGAGAAGAAGGCAATCGGGTGCTCTTTGATGGCTGATGGTTGGAGGGACCGAAAAGGAAGAGCACTTATCAACTTCTTAGTGAATACTCCACGAGGAAGCATGTTTCTAGAATCTGTAGATGCATCTTCTTATTCTCATACAGGTATTCATTGTTTTTGTTTTTTACTTATGTTTATGTTCTATGTTGTTTATGTTATGTACTTTACTTATGTTTATATTCATTGTTCTATTTTGTTTATGTTATGTACCATGAAAGATTAATCTGTTTATGTTTTTGACTGTTATTCACTCTTGTTTAGACTGTTATTGACTATTTTTGTTGCTGTTTGAACAGATAGTGTTGCCAACAATGTTAGTGCTGCCAACAATGTTTTGGCGGGGAAAATGGTGGAAGCAAAATATCCACACATCTATTGGACTCCGTGTGTTGCGCATTGCATTGATCTCATGCTTGAAGACATCTTCAAAGTGACTCATCTTAAGAAGACACTAGACAAAGCAATTACGGTTAACACTTACATTTACAACCGTGCATTGCTCTTGAATATGTTGAGAGACTTTACGGGTCAAAGAGATATGATTAGGCCCGCAAAGACCCGGTTTGCAACCGCCCTCTTAACTCTAAATTGCTTTAGGAGTCATAAGACAAGTTTGAAGAAGTTGTTCACGTCTAAAGCTTGGAACAAAAGCAGGTTCAAAGGGGAGGAGGGAGGAACTCAATGTGTCGCAACAATTTTTTCACCTAGTTTTTGGATTAACATTGATATTGCTGTCAAAGTTGGTGAACCATTACTAACATGCTTCGACTGGTAGATAGTGAAAGAAAGCCGGCTATGGGGTACATTTATGAAGCCATGGATAGTGCAAAGGAGCAGATTGCATACTCATTCAACAACAAAATTAACAAATACAAAGCTTTCTTTAAAATCATTGATGACAGGTGGAATTGTCAACTTCACCAAGATTCGCATGCGGCTGGTCACTATCTGAATCCAAGTATTTTTTACAACAACCCAGGAGTGAAAGAAGATAGTGAGGTGATTAAGGGCTTGATGGCATGCATACATAAGATGTCATCAGAAGAAGATGAGACCAAGATTCACCAAGAGCTCTCTATATATACCGGTGCAGAAGAGTTATTTGCGCAACATATGGCTGTTAAATTAAGAACAACACTTGCACCAACGAAATGGTGGATGCAATATGGATCATCAGCACCGACACTTAAGAAGTTTGCTGTGAAGGTGTTGAGTCTTACTTGTAGTTCATCAGGGTGTGAGCGTAACTGGAGTGTTTTTGAACATGTAAGTTGTTCATTTTTTTAAGATTAATATCCTTTGCACTATTTACTAATGGTTTAATTTTATTTTTGTAGATCCATTCGAAAAAAAGAAACCGTCTTGAACGACAAAACCTAAATGATTTAGTTTACATCAAATATAATCGAGCATTAAGGAGGAGGTATGATATGCGGGATATGATCGACCCGATCATCTTGGAAGACTCACACATACATGACCCGTTTGAGTGGTTGGCGAGTGATGATGATGGTCTCGTGTTTGAGGGTGATGACTTGAGATGGGATGTTGTGGCAGAGGCTATGGGGGTGGATGAGCCGGTTCATCTAACTAGAAGAACAACAACACCAGGTGGGAGGCAAGGTGGTAGGCAAGGGGGGATGCAAGGGGTTGTTGGGGTTGCTGAGTCAAGCTCACAAGGTAGAGCTAGAGCTAGACAGCCCCATTTGGTAGATGAACCTGAAGAGGAAAATGATGTTGGGGTTTATAAGGAGTTTGTTGAAATAGAGGGGGAAGATGAACTCGTATTTGAGGAGGATGAGGATAACGATTAGTCGATTAGTGGTATTTTAGAGTTTAGACGTTTAGAGTCATAACACTCTCTTTTGTGGTATTAGAACTTAATTTTAGACTTTAGAGTCTAAAACTAACCAATCTTTTATGGTAAAAATCTTTTGGAACTTAATGTTAGCTTAATAGAACTGGTACTTTTAGTTCTATGTGTTATTTTTAATTGCTGAATAGGTGCAGGTAAATAGTGTTTAATTTTATATAAAATCACAAAACATGAAATAGTTGTCGCTATTTCATCGCCATCGCTACGTAGCATATAGGTGGGTTGTCGCTATTTCCTCGCTATCGCTATCGATAACCTTGTGATCAGCATTCTCGTTCTTTGTCTTTTTCATCGCCAAGATCAACATAATCATCTTCTTCCTCTTGGTATTGTTGTGATTGTTGTCCTCCATTATCTTCCTCACAGGTAATAGTACCTCTTTTCTTTCCAAAAACGATGATTTTGTAATCAGAATTCAAGAATCAATATAAAGCATGAATTTTGTTTTCGATGCTCTGGAAATACAATTGAATGAAAATTGTGATGGAATGGAAGCCTAAAATAGGCCTAAATACAGAACATGAAATCAATTTTTGGAGGGTCGCTCGTAATTTGATCGTTGCAGAGAAACGCAATACGTAACAGAGACGCTTGACTCTTCAAATTCCCACTCATGTACCCAATCGATTACAAATGCGTTTTGGAATTAGGCAAGTTGCGATCGGAATAGCATCGGGTACGTTGGAGTTGAAATTTTGGAACGCCAATTTCAACTTTAAAAACGTGAACCCGAGCATCTACAAAACACGTCCGTACCACGTTTTGGTACGAGCAAATTGGTACGTAGATCGCGCCTAACCCAACGATTTATGTGACTATGGGTAAATAAAATCGCTTGAAGGAGTTTTAAAAGTGTAGTGAAGACGATGAAAGAGATAGGCAAAAGAAAGATGCATGAAGGGTCGAGGCCATACATAAGGGAAAAGAAAGTGATGGTTATAGTTATGGCATGACATACATGGAGATGTATAAGAGATTAGACAAAAAAGAGATTGGTATCTTTGAAGCTAGCAAAATTCAGAGAAACATGACAAATAGACAGACAAATCATTAGGTATTTTAAGGACAACATTTGTGTCTAGGAGAACGATGAGGCTATTTGATAGAAAACAAGTCATATATTAACATAGGGCAAACATGGAGGGACCCGATTGTAATATTTATATTTTCATTTTTGCCCCTGTCTAGTAGTATCCTTAGGCTAGTATAAATAAATGTAGTCTTAGGAGTTTGGATCAAACGGTCTTTTGTATTTAGAGTCATCAGCTAAAGCTTGGGCAAGAGGTCATCTCTTTTGAGACCCTCTCTGAATTCTCTCTCTGAATTAGGGTAGGAAGGATAATCATTTGATTAACTTCACCGATTTGTTATTTTGTTATTTCCATTTCAAGTTCATAGTAATCAAGCATTCAATTCCCTGTTCTTCATCATAGTTATAAGATTCCTATCAATTGGCTCCATTGCCCTTCAAACCTCTTCTTCATGCGTGAATCATGGTGCAACCAACTGAATCTGAAATGGAAACCTATCTCCAAACCAGAATGGATATTCACGATTAGAAAATTGAAGTTCTAACTAAATAGATGCAAAATCTCACTCGATCTATTCACGCCATTAAGGATCTCATGAACGATCTCCCAAAATCCTAGAGAAGATGCTGACGAGATCACTACACAAGGATCACAAATTATAATCGGGAACTCTTCGACGATGCATCCACAGGGCACCAAAATTACGGGATCACTACACAACGATTTCCCAAAACGAAGGGAAACAACACATACCTGATTCGACGATGCATCCACAGGGCACCAAAATTACGGGAGTTTCTTTTGACGGAGAAATTAGAGAGGGTGTTAAAAGACCATTTCTTGATGGTAGTGAAATAGATTTAGTGTTGGATATATATCTTATGGCTTCAAGTTTAACACAAACAAATGGTATTTTGGGGAGAGGGAAGTGCTCCCAGGGTTCACCAAGTGTGTCTGTTGGCAAAGAGATGCTTAATTTTGGTCTTAAATCGAAGAAAATATCAAAAAAGAATCAATCATCACACGCCACATCTCTCACTTAAGTCTTTTTTCAAACTACTTTAAAAAGTGATTGAGTCATAGGCATTAGCTAGTATTATCCCTAAGCTAGTATAAATAAGTGTAGTCTAGAAGTTTGGATCATTCAGTCTTTTGCATTTGGAGTCATCGGTATTAGCTTGGCAGGAGGTCATCTCTTTTGAGACCCTCTCTGAATTAGGGCAAAAAGGATAATCATTTGATTAACTTCTCTGATTTGTTATTTTGTTATTTCCATTTCTAGTTCATAGTAATCAAGCATTCAATTCCTTGTTCTTCATCATAGTTTTAAGATTCCTATCACAATTAAAAGGAAATGGGGTTAACTTTCTAGAAGTTCAACATACCGGACAATCTGGCGCTTCAGGTCTCTCCGGAAGGGCTTCACTTGTAGTCGGGACCTGCCATTTAGAGCTAAAAATCATGCCAATGTGCAAATAAGAAAAAAAAAACATGATCATATACCACACAAATACTACTGTGAACAAAAGAAAAACATATGATCAACAAAATAGTGTCAAGTACAAGTAAAAAGGTAGAGTTTCAACCAACAATGATAAGCAATTAAGAAATAACAATGCAATCAAATTTAACCAAAAAGAACACAGTGAAAATAAAACTGACACGTAAACAACTAAAGGGTTATGACAAAAGTTCATGTAAAAGTTGTACAAGTTAAAGTCAAAAGTATGTGGTTATTTAGGTAGCTAACCATATTAGAAAGAACACCTAAAAGTCCACATATACAAGTCTTATAAAAAGCTTGACAGCATGAGAATGCATAAATACTAAACAGATACCTATATAAAATATTAGACAATAATAATAATGACATAGCCAGTTAGTTTAGTTTCTGTATTGACGCTAAAGGACATTAGAACCTGACCCAGATAAACCACACTACAAAATAACCCATTGTTTTATAAATAAAACCCAGTATCACTCATTATAAAAATAACCCATTACTTTATATGTATAAATTTATATGTCAGCTCTACAAAGTAGTACATTATAAAACTATCAGCAGATAAATATAAGATAGTAGAGTGTAAACATATGTAAGTATAAGAGCAGCATACAGCATTGAACAAAAAATATAAATACGTTGTAAACGCAAAATATAGTTTGTTTATAATAATGTATAATTAGATAGATAGATAGATAGATAGATAGATATAGTGAAAATAACGATAAAAGGTCACCTCTTTCCAATCAGGGATTCCACCCTCAGGGACCCACATAGGATGGTCAAACTTGCAGCTATCTCCAAACTTACAAGTTCTTGTAAGCATATAATGGGCACAGTCCTTTTCTCCAGGCCTCTGTGGATACACAGGCAGCAAACTGGCTGTAGCCTCGAATCTAGGCCGCTTCATTAAAGGGTTGCTAGAAAACCCAAGCGTATTATGGGCACCAACAAGCGACTGATGATATAATGCTAGATAGATAGTAGACATATATAAAAAAAAAGTTATTAAGTAAACATATGTCATATAACTTATTATATATCATTAGAAACTAGCATATACTTATATTATCAAAGAACCAAAATGCCAAGTTAATGAAGTAATTTGTACTCTATGTATCTTGGTAGTGTATAATAACACAGTCAAGGTTTTGGTTTTATAAAATAGAATAAAGTATCTATAGATTTTCTCAAAATTTGTCATGACTCATATATAAAAACAAATATAAACACATATGTGTATGTGTGCATAAGGATACATGCATACTTTTATATATACATATATGGGTGTGTGTTCGTTATGTTCTGAAGTTACTGTTTAATATGACAAAGAAAAATAAAAATAATTAACATTTAGTTATAAAAAGATTCCAAATTTATTTCAAAGGTTACAATAACAAGTGTGTGCGAGTATAAAGACACTGTTTGAAATTAATTTTATATGCATAGAAACACATAAATTATATCATAAAGTTGATTTTCACCCAATAGGTGGAGAACGCTAAAAAGGAAATAACATAAGTAGGGTTATTACATAACACATACATTATATATGTAAGATGGATAACATTAAAACCTGATTGCTATCATGGTTTTATACGAGTCCAAACTACTGAAAAAGAATAATTCATTTTGTCCTCTAGTTTTTTCCCTTTCGCAGTCAAAAACTTAAGTTTGTTTTTCTTTTAGCTTTTGTTTCTAATTTTGCAAATTATGATATCTTATCCTCTTTCGGTAAAATAAATACCAAAACTGTCACATGTGTATCCCAATTCTCGTATCATACCATCAATTTGTGGTCTAGTTATAGATTAATATGATTAGATCTATTACTTTATAACTGCAAAAGTATTTAAGAATCATATTCGGTGAATATAGTACCCACAGTTACGCATCCATCCATTAAAACCGACACCAACTTTAAATACTACTTTAGACCAAAAAACTGGCACATACTACTTTAGTCCAAAATTAAAATACATTATATTCTTACGTAGCTCCTTTGTTTTTTTCTAAATAATACTTCTAAACGTTACACTTCAAGATCATAAAATGTATGACATTAAGCTAAAAATGTGTCAAGGTTGGGAGAGGGTATGACTTATGAGATTAGGCAGTAGGGACAAAAAAGAAATGATCATATGCTTCAAGTTGTACATACTACATAGGTATGTGGACATGTTCAGATAATCTCATCACCCTTTGGGTTCTATTATAGTACTTGACATATCACGTATGGTGTTTATCCTTGTTAAACTTTCAAACAGTATCTGCAAGAATAGATCTCATTCATCCTACCATGAAAGGGTGATTAACAATAAGTCAGCTTCTAACAAAAGTTGCAGCGATAACAACTATTAACAAGAAGCTCTTCATCCCATTTAAATGCACAATAATAACAAACCCCCAAAATTCAAGTTAAGGTGGTCAAAGTTACAAAATTTCAGGACACGATTGCAATAGAATCTTGGAAAATTTTAATTTAAAACAACAGGTTGGCATCTGTTTATGAAACTGGGGAACAGGACTAATGTTTGGGTCGTATGAACTTAAACAGACGGATTTTTTCTTGTGAGCGTGTAAGAATAGTTATCGGAAGCGATGTATATAAATAATTAAAAGATCCATACCTTCAGTAGATGAACGCTTATAGCCTGCTAATATAGATTCAATCGAGGTTGAAGAAACCCCTGCATCAACTCCAGGCGGTCCCGGCCTCAATGCTTCTCTCGCGGTCATTCTATCGGCCGCCGAGTAACCACTGCCGTTGGTGTCCTTGTGGTTGTAGAGCATGGAAGGACCTCTGTCGCTGATAGATGAATAGCTGAACAGATTGGAAGACGATGACAAGGGATCTGAACCAAAAAACCTAGACGAACTAAGGTAGGAGGGGTCCGAAGGCACGTACTGCTCGGCGATGGATTTGGACGTGTAGATGCTGGACGAATTGGATCCTCCCCCGTACCCGTAGGAGCTGGAACCGTACAGCTGATTCGCCATTCTAGAGGATTGAATGAACAAACCCTAGAATGCACGCACAATAATCTTGTCCCTAGGTGCCAACCAAATTAGACTTTGTCTCAAAAAACTTTTTTCATTTTGCAATATTTGAAAAAAAAAACATATATCATTAACTAACTACATAAATAGTCTCTTGGTAAAGTTGAATGTTTGGTCATCGACTTTTTTTAGATTTCAGAGCATTCTCTTCGTTTGTTTTTATGGTGTGTCGGGTCCCTACATTAATTAGTTGTTGACCTCGTCCGTTAAGCGCCCTATGTACCTTGTACACGAGGGGTATTTTCGTCATTTAACTCAAAAACCTTATACGAATGTCAAGACCCCTACATATCATTCCCTCTCTTCTAATCAAATCACATTCATCTCTCACATACCTTTATTTCTTCTTCTCTGCAACTATCGATCAAGATGACCAAGCTCTGGTCTTTCATACACATATCAGGGTCAAACCCTTGTCTTCCATGCAAGAGTCACAAAGACAATTAGCATCCTACATAGTATAGTAAGAAGACTCACCTCAGGAATGTAGTCAACGGCTAACAAGTTCACACGGTCGAAATGTGGATACTACACACCTCCTAATGAATCATACAAGGTAAAACTACCCAATTGACTAAAAGTCAACTCATGTCAAAAAGTCAACGGTCAAAGTCAACTTCAACTACCGTCCACGTCATGGCCAACCAATGGCTACGTCGTGGTCATTTAATTTCATCCCGATCAAAAATTGCTTACCACGCCGCAGCAGATATGCTACCACGTCATGGCAGAAACGATAACATATAGTCGCTACCGAACCGGTCTCCATGTTGTGGAAACCGTATAGGGACAGCTTAATGGATTAAGCTCTTAACTTCTAATCTCAAGGGCTTCCAAAGCTCATATCTGAATCTCCACAAGGTCTCGATGGTAAAGTTTAGAACTTTATCTATTATGACACCCCATTAAGGCAATATCTCTACTCCAAAGTTCTTAATGATTGCACCAAAGTCATAAACACCAAAATGATTCATGTAATACCACTTTCCAATCAACACCATGGTCTAAGAGCTAAAATATGCACGCAAAGGCTCTGGAGTACACTTAAACTCCAAGGACAAGAAGATTGGCACTAAAAAGCTCATAAAGGACTTAGAACAATATTCAGAGAAACAGGGAGCAAGGTTGAGACTTTTATACCTCCACAAGGTCTGAAATGTGATGAGGATGTTAGATCTAAGCTGAAACCAAACTAACAAACCACAAGATGAGCTTATTCTTCCTTCAGGCTTCACACACTCAAAATACACACAAATAGGCTAGGGTTTGGGTGGGGATCGATTTCAGATGATTGAGGTTGCTAAATTAGGGAGCCCTAGGAGTTAGTCAGTGCCCTTAAATAAGGTACAAACCTAGAGATCTAGGGTTTACACTAAAATGGCCGCCACACTCTGGCAAATAGGTTGTCATGTCGTGGCACTGCACAACTTCATGTTCTTAATTGGACAATTGCCACGCCGTGGGGCCTGATCTACCACGTCGTGGCCCACCAAAACATTCACAATTTATAATCAAAATAATTACTTGGGAAAAGCATTACCTGGAAATGGATGCTACAAATATCTACAACCCTAAGTCCATTAAGTCTTTAATGAGACCAAAACATGTGCATGGACACAAGGTAGCTCCAAACATGACTCCTTTCTCATTTCTTAGAAACATAATGACCATTAGAGAGCCATCAACAAGCTCTAGAGTTCTTCAAACTCCCAAAGCATCCAAGAAAGGGACCAAAATCCTCTAAAATGAACTCAAACTTGAAACAAGAAGAATAAGGGTCAATGTATGAACTCTGTACCTCAAATAACTCAAAAAATCAAAAGAATATGATAGATCCAAACCAGCCCTTGCTTCCTTGCACCAATATAAACTTCCTTCTTCCTCAAGCTTCACCAAAATCCAAAGAATAAGCTCTAAATCAAAGAAAACAAGCTCTCAAACATGCATGGAGGGCTAGGATTTTGTGTTGGAGGGTTGGAGTGCTAGGAGGATGCCCTAATCCACGAGTTAAAACCTTTAAATATGGATAAAATCTTAAACATCATTGGTTTGGGCTGTAGCAGCTTTACGTCGTAGCCTCCCTCTTGCCACGTTGTGGCGGCCATCAGATTCGCGTTCCTTATAATCGGCATGTCACGTCGTGGTTCTCCATACAATACGTCGTGGCACAAGGTTTTTCCTAAAAAAACCTTATATTTGATCCCTTTAAGTCATCAACTGATTTATTCAGGAAATCGGGTGTTACATACACCATCGTAAACTACCCCTTCGAACATCTTCAATCACCAGAAACATCACCATCTTCGAACACCAAACACACCACCAAAACCACCTCATATTATCCTTATCTACTCCCTACGCCACCAAATGTCTCATCGCATCACCTACAACAAACCTTATACCGTCATCACCACCACCTACTACAACCACCATAGAAGCTACCTATGTTTTTCCTTCCACCTGTGAGAACCTCACCAAACACCACCACCCTCTCTGTAACGACCCAAAAATCAAGGGTAAAAATTTTTATTTTTATTATAGTTAAAACACAAATACCGTTTAAATCTAACCATTCAAAACATTGTTTAATAAAAACATTTATCAGAGTTTCATCACAAAATCACGTAATGTGGAAAACACGGGTGTGTGCGCTACGATCAAGCCGTCATCCTTTCCAAACTGATGATACCTGAAACCATAAACAAAACTGTAAGCACGAAGCTTAGTGAGTTCCCCCAGAGCATACCCCACACAATCCACGTAATCACATAAACCATACTATCTATATCAGCTACATAAATCCACATAAGCCATATCAATCACATAAGCCATGCATATAATCATATAGGGAAGCCATGGAAACCTTCCAAGGTCTTACTACGGGTGCCATAGGAACCCCCTCATGGTCTTAGCCCACTGCCATGGGAACCCCCCATATGGTATCAACTACCTTCCATATAAACCATACATACAAACATATAAGGATGCCCTGGAAACCCTCCAATGTCTTACACCGGGTGCCATAGGAACCCCCTCATGGTCTTAGCCCATTGACATGGGAACCCTAAATGGTCTTAGCCTGGAATGTCATAGGAACCCCCACATGGTCTTATATCTAACTGCCTCGGGAACCCCCCGGGGCCTTCCATGAAAGTATCACAAAGACAACTAGCATACCAAATACCACACAATCAACTAGCATATCACATATAACTAATTGCCATGGGAACCCCCACATGGTCTTACCTAACCAAAGAAACATCATACACGCTAAACATACAAACATACTATGATGCCATGGAAACCCTCCAAAATCTTACACCAAATGCCATGGGAACCCCCACATGGTCTCAATCTACTGCCACGGGAACCCCCAGGGGTCTTCCATGCAAATTTCATTGGTGCCTTGGTGCCTTAGACCCATTGGTATGGTGAGAAAACTCACCTCGAGTTGTAACATCCTGAGATTTGCAAGTATTTTTGAATCCTCTCTTTATTATTATTTGTCATTTGTAGTCCCTGGGAATGGAAGAGTGAAGCCATGAGAAGCCTAAGGGCTAAAGTTGCAACTTTATGATCAAGAAGAGTATGCTAAGCGTACATAAGGTACGCTGAGCGTACTAGGCTCGCCCTAGTATGTTGGGCGTACACTTGTGTACGCTGGGCGTACTCACGTCAGATGGAAACCCTAATATTTAGGGTTTGGGTGCTATATAAACGTCCTTATGAGCTCAAAACCCTCCATCATCTCAGCCTCCATAGCTTTGAGCCGTTTCCCCCAAACCCTAACCCCTCTCTTGAGTGTGTGAGCTAAAAGTGTGTGATTTGAGTAGTTGGAGAAGAAGGTATTGCATCAAGAAGTCGGAGAAGGAAGACGAGCTTGTAGATCTGAGGTTACTTTGTGATCTAGAAGCTCCAGGACGTAAAAAGCTCCAACCTTTATGCTTGTATGATATAGATCTTTCCATATTAGCTTTATGACACCTTCATTGTCCCAAAAAGTCCCAAGTTGGTGAATGTTATGTTTTGAATGTAATAAGCTGTCCTTTCAGACCCTATAAAGGGTCCTAAGTGATAAAAATGATGTCCCAAAGGCTAAAAGTGTCCCATGCATGAAGTAGAAAGGTCGTAATGGGTTAAGACCATGTATTAAGAACTTTCTAGACGTCCAAAGTCTTAAAAGTTTGAGACTTTATGGTTCTAAGACACATTTGGTCGATGGATCTGGAATTTGGGCTTAAGTGCTTAAGCCATTAAGCATTTACTAGAGTTTTGGTGAAACTTGCCTACGTCTCTCGTAATTTCTGTACGCCCAGCGTACTAGGTCAACCACCCCGATGGTGGTCAATGCAAGGTGGAGTACGCCCCGCGTATGCCCTCTGTTGGGCTTTTTGCGATTCGGGCTTTTGGGGTTGGGCCACTTTTGGGCCAGTTTGACATGGGCCTTGCTGGACTTTCTGAATAGATGTGTTTTGGGCCAGTTTTGGTAATGGATATTAAAATGAGGCCCAATTAGGGAGTTGGACCCAATTGGAAAAATTGGTCCAATGATGGGCCTTGTATATGTGGACTTTTGGATCATGGATTTGGCATTGGGCCTTGGCCCAAATTTGAGATATGTCCAACATGTGCTTGGGAGTGATGGTGGTGTTGCAACAAGCCTAAAACTTACCAACTATACATGTAAGAGAACAACATAATCGAACATCAAATAAAATACTATATGAGTATTTTTGGGATACTATATAACTTTCGCACGTACACTTTCTACCCGCTTCTCACACCTCCATTCTCTCACAGACACCATGGCTGAGTTCCAGCACAAAGACATCTACTACAATGCCCTAGTGGCCAACGGATGGGTCGAAGAGGAGCCGAGAGAGGTTCAAGAGGAAAACCCATAAGCAGGTCCCGAAGAACACCAGGTAACGGACTACGAG